TAATCAGCTGGACTATTTTATCTATTTTTTATCTTAAATTGTTTTCCCTTCACAATCACTTAGTGGTTCGTCTGCTTCTGCCTTTTTTACTTCGGTCAGCAACGATTTTCTAGAATGGAGATTACATCATAACTGTTCGCATAGTCCACTGTCTGAATATAGCGTTAAGATTGATACATTTTTAACATCTAATTCTATTTCAGTACCTAACATGGTGTCTTAATGCATCGTTCCTTACCTTTAGTTATTTCAAAAAAATTAACTTTTCTTCCTTACTATTACCTACTTTTTACACCTTTTTTATTTCATCGAAAAGTCACTTGAGTGACCCAGAAATCTGATTTTTTATCTTCCCTCTTTGTACTCTGGAAAATGTATCGCTTGTATAAGTAAATAATAATTTTGAATAGTTCACTTCTATCGTTCATACATTTTTTCTTTCTTACCTAACTTACAGGTGATGCAGCCAGCTTCTTTAGCTTCACACACTGAGAAATCTTTTTTCTCCTTTGCACGAAAATCCGCAAAGAATCTTTCTTTCTTAAAGCGTTGGCTCAGCGTGCCTGTATCTCCAGACTCACAAGGACTGCTGGACAACAACCACTCATTATTTCGACCTGATGTTGCTCAACCGGCAACAGGGCGCTCCGAGTTCCGAATCAACTTCTCGTCTCCATCTACAAGCTTGCCGACGCCTTTGGCGGCAGTGCGTTACTTTGTATGTCGCCTCCCTGTTAAGCCAATCACTTCGCAGTACAATCCGCTGTTGCTCAAAGAGCCAGCGGATGAAGTCACCGACTCTATTGTTCTTCTGGAGTCGGGCGTCAACACTTTGCGCTTCCAAAGCTCCGTACGTCATCATCACTATCAACTTTATTATTTCTCAGCACTATTTTTATTTGATATGGAGTGCATTCATTCATAAACTCCTATCAAGGCAGGTTATTTTTTAGAGGCATTCGTAGAAGAATACATTTCATGTTACTGGAATTGAATGCAGTTGGATTTACAAACTTGTGAAGATGGCAACGTCAAGCACTATCATTATGCTGCAAATAATTACATCCCCATCTCACATGAGCCAGGATATCATAAAACATTTTAGAACTATTTTTTGAGTATGATGCAGCCTATCCCTTATTTTATGCTCCAATAGCAATCTTTTCTCTAAGTTACTCCTATCAATGGCTTATGGACTCCCTTAAATCGCCTTAAATCGGACTGAAAATTTGCTTTAGCTACAAGACTCATAGACAGGCCTTAATCAGAATCGCATATAGTCATTCATTAACAGATTTTTTAGAAGAGCCATTAATTTCTCCTATTATGCCAATGAGAGACCTCCAAAATTTTAGACATTCTTACATCCAGCAACTCTCACTTCAAGACAATAACCTGATTACTAAAGATATCTCATTCCTGTGCACACACACGAAGGTTTATTTTCTGGGAATCTCTTTTATTTTAATTGTTCGGATTTATATTTCAATGAAAGTGTGCAATGATAATGACATGTTACACTCTGTTATAATTAATTTGATCTCTCATCTCTACTTTCGTACCCTACGCACGTGCTTCTAGATTGGCATGCGACCCCATCAAAATGACAGGGTTTTAGTATATCTGCAGCACACGAGGATAAGCAAGCATTTTTCTTGACTCGTTAACAGCATGGACTGTAGGAATTATACTCGGTTTTGGGGACTTGTGTCATAAGATAGACAAAAGCTTAGCACATTTTCACCTGAATCGAAAAATATAGCCTGAAGATAAATTAAATCATATGGTTCCAGAAATGCTAAACACAGCCCACATCGAGACTTTCATAACGTTTTTCGAAAGGTCTTGCTATAGTACCTTTAGGTTTCTTCTCGGTCTTTATAAACCTTTCAAACATGTGTTTTTGGGGAATGTGCCTAATTTCTACTTTTCAATTTCAAACCAGTGTTTAGATATTCATGTCTGCACGAATGACCGAACACCGATATATTTTTATATTTCATTTGCGTATTTTTCTACATCACTTTATCCGTTATTTAGCATAATCACAAAGGAACATATAGTAAGCATTATAACGCACCGTGATTAGACAACATTCGTTTCAATGTTGGCTCGATCTTGTTCTCTTAACTTGGTCGGAGCGTCAGAGAGACCTTGTGGAATGTACCTAGTCTCGTGTCCTCTGTCATATTATTCGTGATTTCCAGCATAGGACCATTGACTGGATATATTCCAATCAATTGTGTGGCCGGTAATGGCGATGTGTTTAGCTATCTCCGAATGCTATGGCGGAGGACACGGGACTAGGTACGTTCCACAACGTCTCTCTGACGCACCGACTAAGTTGCTAAAACAAAGTCTAACTAAAACTATAAAGCTAAAGAATACTTCGACTAAACAGAAGACCACACCATCTTGGTCTTCTTATCTACGAACGTACGTTTCGCCTATTAACGATGTTAATTGAAATGTGTCATATTCGCTGAATATCCCAACATTTGAAAGCACATACCTCGTTGATTTCAAATGGAGGCATTGCGTCTTACACTTACTTGATTTGATTTCCTGCCACTATTCAGTCTCCTTACTCGACGTTACCTGTCACCCATGCTTCTTCAGGATAGGATCTGAGGTCGAGATAAAGTCCAGTTTGGTTCTCTCCTGTTGTGCATAGATTTTGCAAATAGCCTCTATCAACGTCTGCTCACAGCACTGACTACTGCCGCCTTTAGACTGTTACGCCAAAATGTTTGAACACTGGCCATATTAAATTATTTGGGAAGCCTCTAAAGTCTCATTAGATCTTTACTATGAACTGAAATTAATTTAATCTAATCTATGAAACCCCATATGATGTGGCCTTCTGTATGGTCGCAGTTTCCTGTATTTGTATAGGAGTTGTTAGATCTTGTTTTCGCAACTTGGTCATATTGGTGGGTAGATCTAGAAGAGCGCAACTAGTCTCGAGTTCATAGTATGCATACTATGGGGCTTGCTCAGTGAGGCTGGTGCATACGTGCTATCAAAGGCTTGAGACAGAGGGTAGAACATAACGCCTTGAGTAACACGGATACGGTGGCAGCGATGGCGTGAAATCACAAAAACAGGCAGATAAGGGAAGGATCCTACTGAGCAAGAGGGGGACTCTGATAGCACCCGAAGGGAGAGGGTTTCGGATTAAACCACGGATTTAAATCAACACTCACGGCACAGTGGGAAGTATATGGAGACCAGAGGTGAGTATGAATAGGTTTCAAATAGGTTTATCTAAACAAGTAAGAAATTGTGATATTGATACCAGAACATAGGTTAGGTGAATAGCTCAGGACAGAAGGAGAGATACCACTACTGTTTAGCACACGTTTGGTTAAAGGATCGGCTTCTCTTATCTCTTTGCCGAGTTGTGTAGTGCTAAGACTGGCGAGACTCACTGACGATGCCGGCGAAACGTCTGGGAATGTACCAAGTCCATGGTCCTATTTCGGAAAGTATCATGCATACTATGGACTCCGGACAAGATGCCTTCCTCTAAGTCTTCCTGCCAATATGACCAAGTTGCGAAAACAAGATCAAACAAATTCTGGAATCAGATAGTCCAGGTGTAAAATCTGCGTTAGATGGTAGTATTTGGCTTTTTTATTTAGCTTTTGTTAATTTTAAAGATGTTTTTATCACCATCTATTGAAGCTTTCGCTTTTTTCAAATGGGTTGTAGTTTTCACTCACTGCTGATATTAAACGTGAGATACCTTTACACTATTTTTCGATTGAAAAATGTCATTGGATTCAGTTCATTACGAATCAAGCGTCGTTAATTTTGTATCATTCTACCCATTTCTTGCTTTTTTGTAAAATCACAGCGCTGCTTAATCAAGAAATATTAGTTATAAAATATTAATCACAATTATAATTATTTAATTATTCAACTTTTTCAGGTCTTCAGATATTGGCTCAATATATATTCTCTACATTTTGCACTTTAGATTCATCCTCTCTTTCATAACAAGCCTTTTGATGACTTTTTTAAGAACAGCTTAGGTGGCGTTCTGGGGGATAAAGGATCTTTTATAGTTTCGTAGGTTCTAGGGTTTTGTAAAAATTGTTTCTGACATTTTAATGATGAATTTAATAGCTTAGTTAATATTCTACTTTTTGTCATCATTATATTTTTTTATTATCAATAGGTGTGTGGATTTTTTCTTCCGGAAAGTCTTCACATATATATCTACCCCAGCAATGCTATGGAGTCGTTGTTCTTCAGTCGGGCTTCCCGGATCGTAAGCCCGGCAATGGGCACAGCTGTATCAGCTTCAATGTTGTCTTCCTCTCCGTGTAACACTGCAAGCTCTACTGCCTTAACACCCTCCTTGACGCCTTTGCTCAATGCTGATCCTGTACTTACTTTTTGTGATATAATCCCTGCTGATAAGTTGGGAGCAAGCTGGAAATGTGATCATCTGTTGGACCGTCTACTACCAAGGCTGGAGCTACTCCCTGACGTTGGCCCGGGTCATCCAGTCAAAAATTCTCTGGCTGAACCTGAAATTAGCTTCTCTAGTAAATGCCAATGATTCGCCAAGTTTGTGTTTTTTTAATTATGCCTTCATAATTAGTGAGTTATGCGAATTTGGCGGTATCTTGTCGATTTATTCAATATTAATGAACTGAATTTTAGTTTGTGTAAAAATGGGATTCAGGAATTCGTAAATGGGTCTCTCCAGAAGACAACTGCCTTTCCTCCTGATCTGCTGTTTGATTTTCCTGGGGCGTTCATGCTCGTGCAATATTTGAGAGTCTTAACTTGTGTTTTGGTGAAAAATTGCTGAGATGTCACTTTATTTGCATCATTAGAGTTTGAACACAATCTTATAATGACTTTAAGCTGACATTGAGTCTGGAAAAAATATTGGCTCATTCCTTCGTTGAATGATCAGACAAAATTACAATTGAATCATGCTAATAATTATAACTGAGCAATTTATTGCTTCCAACAAAAACCATCAAATCATCTAATGTTCGCCTGGATCTTTTGGGCAAATTGATTTACGATATTTAATACTTATTCAGCTCCCCGGTTCTCTCTCGTTTTCACTTGTTTAGTTTGCTACATTTAGTTAAGGGTCCACATTCTAAGTGTTTGCGTAAATGTGAAGCTCCCTGTAATAATGGGGCATATATGTTGATTAAATGATATCAGATCTTGATTTACATTCTGCAATGCTTTGATCACGGCTGATATCAACTACTTAAGTCAGATTCCGATCGATCTCCCATGTCTAAGTGACATGGGTTTTTTGTTTACTGCTAACTAATGTCTCTTTATAGCGTACATTCTGATAAATAACATGACTACCAAAGCCAATGTAGAGTTGAATTTATATGACTACTATATTGCAACCAATGGAAAGTAGTGCTCGCATGCTTTCTTGATTATATAAATCATACATTTATCAATAGCTAATAAAGCAGTGTTTATGGCAGCCTCAATGAAGTAGCCAAATTTAAGCCAAGTCCTTTTATGATGCAAACATTTCGTAAGCATATGTTATGTTATATAAAAAAGACCAAAATATAAAAGTCAGTTCAAATCAATTTTCAGTTTTATCTTCTAATATTAATTGTTTATAAGGGCAAATAGTAATATGTAGGACAGAAAATGCTGGGCATATTGCCTTCAGAATGTATATATACTTAGTGTACTTATATTCATACTTGTACATTACTTTTTTTGCGCTTGTGCCCTCTTGTATCTAAACATGTTTGTGTCTCTAAGAGTGCACAAAAGCTGATGATCCTATAAAATTTCGTTTTTCTGCTCGTTACTTTTCACAAATATATATATATACATATATATTTATTTATTTATTAAAGCCCAACAGCTGCGGCAAAATGGGAGTCATTCGTTATCTTCTGGTGAGCTCGACCTACGAATCTCTTCATCATGCCACATCAATAAGATCTTTAAGCATGAAAGCATCCCATGTTTTCGATATTTTCCTTGACCATAAATTAGTCAATATATTAACAAATTTAATACATTTTCCTAGTACCTGAATATGAGGTAAACGGGGACAGTCAGATTTCATTTTGAGTAGGTTTTCAAGACTACCAGTAAATCAGATATATGACATGTGCTCACCCCATTTCGCTTAAGGTGATGAAAATTTCAGACAATCAGACTATGATTTTGATGTATAGTAGCGACCAATTTAAAAGCGAGGTAAAATGAGGGCCGAATAGAAGTCGGAATTCCTGCAAACGGCATCTGGAACCGGTGGTGAGGCTGATTATGCCTCACTAAAGCCTATCGTAGAGACACACTCTAAGGCGACATTGTAGAAACATGCAAATGAGAGAATGATATGCAGCAATAGAAGGTAGGACAAAAAATAGGGGCGAGGAGCAATGCCACCGTGGTTGAACGGAAAAGTGCTCAAGGGGATTGTCTTCACCTGTCACTTCGATATGTCATAACTCTGTGCTAACGATGGCGTCTCTCACGAACGATGCCGCCTAAACGTTTGGAAATGTACAAAGTCAATTGTCCGATGATGGAAATAACGACTACTATTGCAAGGGCACATGATCAGGTACGTTCCACAAGGCCTCCCTGATTCTCCGACTAAGTTGCTAAAACGAGCTTGCTAAGAGTGGACGCTGGCGAAACGTCTACAAATGTATGTATCAAGTCGACGTTGGCAGAGGACTTTGCTACCCATTGTCACTAGTGGCTGTATAGCGAAATCGTATAGTGCCAACATGGTTTGCATGGCTCGGTCTCGAATCGCATTACGGCTGCTGATGAGATGATAATACCAAGTCGAAACTGCAGCATATGAAGGATGAGAAAACCTTTCTAGAAATTCATTGGTATCTTGAGACATACCGGTGTAATTTTGGTAAAAACTCCACTATCATTCCTTACACCACCTAGAGTTAAAAAGTCCTTATTCATGAAGTTTAGATCCCAGACCACTTTGTATCTCAGTTTTATCAAATTTACAGCGAAACTTCACCATTAATTAAATAAAAGACCTGATTTGATGTTGTGTCTAAATCATCGTACGCTCCAAAATCATGTAGTTATCCAGTTTACACATTTTTCAGGACGTCAGCACTCCTGAAAGGATTCTGACTTTGAATTTTGAGCCATACGACCCTACTTTCGTTGAGAAAAATAGCAAACATGACTTTCGAAGCATGGTAAATCCTTTAAAACAGACGTCAATATTCAGGAGGCATAAGATAGGCTTGATGCTACCTTGGTATAGCGCTATGCTACCATCTTCACAGGCTCTATAGTCCAGACGGTATTTATGTCTGAATGCTACTGTCTTAACTTCAAGGCCTATCCAACTATCCTTTTAATGCTAAGCTATTTTAAGTCTCCTAACTCCGTTGTTCATTTGTTGCTCTTACTGTTGGGTTTCGTTTGCTTTCCGGTCTTTTATTTTACACCTTTCTCCTGTTCTTCTCCCTTATTCGCTTGCACAAGCCCATATCCATTTTCACGCACCCACCCATCTATCCATCATTACATGTATATATATATATATATAATTTCTATATTTTATATTTACATGATAAATGATGCGCCACAAATGTGTCTCCCCTCACCCGCACACGCATTTCCCAGATGCCTCTGTTCTCACCACTCATCTCCCTCAAATTCGCTTGGCTGTTGGTCTGTACCATCCTGTTAGTCTCGCTGTGCGGACCGGAGACTTAGCCCTGCCCTGCTTTCTATCTTCCGAAGTTCCCTCCGTGCAGGAAAGCCAGTTTGAAGCCTTTGAGTCGACTGAGCCGTTGCAAACTACTACAATGGCTCATCGTGGAGACTTGTTACCTGGGCGTCTTGTCAATGACTTCCATCTGCCTTTCTCAGTTCGTCTTGTTCAGTATAGCCCCAGTAAGCAGGTTCCAGAGAACCTGCTTGACCCACCTCCAGATCAGGCCGATAAAGAATCAGCTACGGTCTATCAGAACTCTGATAGGAAGCTTTATTCTCGTCTACGACATGTAGGCATCTGATTGTTTTTTTTAATTTAAATTTTTGTAATGCGGTTAACAGGCAACATTTTAGGAAAAAGAGATTGGCTCAACTTGGTCTATCTGGCTATCAGTATCATGCTGTAACAAAACACTTTAAAAATCTATTTATTACACTCATAAAAAGGCAAACTACTTTTCATAAAACCGGAGGTTTTCTCCCTATTTTTTGACCCCTTTCGTGGATTCGTAAAGTATTAATTTACGGGAATTAACCACCTTGCAAATTCTAAATAAACTATTATAATTTATTAACTTTCTAGGTCTGTAATAACTACCGCAGAATTGTCTACTATCTCGAGTTCACAAAACTATTTAATGCCTATTGACAAAAATAAAAATAATAAGAGCTGCATTCACCTCATTTCGTTTAAACTAATGAAGGAGTGGTAGTTGAGTTTTTCCACATGAACACATTATTTTGTAACAACCCGATCTGGATAATGGGTTAAATTTCTCTATAAAAGTGAGCATAACTAAAGAAAGCGTCGTAGTTTCCCTGAAAACCGTTTTTATTCCCCACTTCCTTACTTGTTCACCTTTCCTTTTAGAGAGAATGCACGAAGCTAAAGACAAAACTTGAGAAAAGGTCTCCTTATCTTTCCTTACGTATTCTCCATTAACAAAGCTATTCCTTATTAATCTAATATTATTTTCAATTAAGCCTCTGAGATAATTATTCTTAAGAAATATTATTTTAAGCCGATTCAATTCATTTTCACAATGGTCCTTATCGGCTAGTCTTATGCTCCGAATAATCATAGATTTTAAAACTCCAACCTTTGTTTTGTAACAATGATTGGAGAAGAAGTGAAGTATAAAGCTAGCATGTGTTGGCTTTATATAGACATCCCTGCTTAACTTCTTACCTGCTCTGATCACTAAGGCATCTAAAAAGGATTAATTATTGTTCATCTTCATATGCATTGTCAACTTAACATTGTAATCATTCTGGTTAATTAAAAACAATACTTTGTCTAAACTATCCTTGCCATGCAAGTAGTCATCCATATATCTGACTAAAAGTTTGGGTGTCACTCTTACCTCTTCCATGTAGTATTCCTCCATTGTTGACCTGTAATTATTAGCTAAAATGGGAGCCAAGCAAGATCCCATTGCTAGGCCTTGCACATGTTCATGAACTTTATCATTAAAGGTAAAGTTTGTGCTGCTCATGGATAGATTAAGAAGCCTTAACATTGAGCTTTTGCTCAGATTTGCTTCCCCAATAATTTCTAGCTGCTCATCTAGGCTGAGTGTAAGTGCTTCAATAGCTTTATGAACTGGGGTGTTAGCATGCATTGATACAACATCAAGACTAATCAAAAGATCCTCCTCTTTAATACTCTGTTGATCTATTATTCCAGCAAATTCATATGAATTCTTCACTGAATATTTCCAAATCTCAGCCAGTTTCCTTAGCTGTCTACATGAAATCGTATGCATCACAGTACCTATGTTATTAACAATCAATCTTAAAACAACTCTTTCCTCGTGTATTTTTGGAAGGCCATAAGCCGAAGTTGCCCAAGCATCCCTTTGAAAAAGTGAATTAATTTTTCACTTCTCAATTTCTCCTCTGCTTACAAAAACGTTAATTGATTCCCTAAGTCCTACCTTAAGACTCTTTATGGGATCCTTCACTAAAATTATTTAAGTTTCTGAATCATTTAAATGAACCATCATTTATTCTATATAACTTAACCTATCCTTGATGACCACTGCACCACCTTTATCTTTCTTTAAAGCAAACAAATAATTTTTAGAGCAAATATCTAGAAACATTATTCAAGTCTTAAGATTTCTTTGGGATAATTATCTCATCTAAATGAGCAATCACTTCTCTTTCTATTCCATCCTTAGCCTCTTCTGGCAGCTTGTCCGTTAAGTTAATTAACTTAACCAGTATATCCATAAAATGATTTTGCTCATTTGAAAATACAAAGTTTAAACCCTTTTCCAAGACCAGCGTAACAGTATCATCTATAGATATATTGGATAAATTAGTGACTTTATTTTCGCTAGAAAAAATAATACTAAGTTTACATACCTCCTTATTGTTTCGACTATTCCTTTGGCTGATGTTGATGCCTAAATTCCTTAATTTCTTATCATGTCGGGATCTAAGGAGCTTACCCATCCTATCCGCCAGATCGTCCGCCATTTTCTGCAATTTGAGAAAGTCTTCTTGGGAAAGGGATAGTATAGTCCTTGTTTTGGTTATAATCAGGTCATATAATTTTTATACAGTCTCTTTTAGTCTAATCTTAACTAAACCAATTGATACATGCTCCACTTTCCCATTAGTGGAAATAGATAAATTTGGACGTCTACTAAGAATACAGCATCTAGGAACTACATTATGTGAAATAAAAATTTTAAAAAATCTTATAGTTTTGACTTGCTGGGATATAGGTTTCTTGATTTCCGTATAGCCATAAGAAAGTTGATAAGAATTCATACCATACGTACGTAGTATATGCGAAGAATCTCTTCACCAAACACTTTCACTCGAAATGGAATTAAGCTCAACAATTATAAAACAAAAGATTCCTTGAAACCCAACTTTTCTTCGCATAATTTTACTTGACAAAAGATATTCCTATCCAGAGTAAACTAAAGTTTTGACCTCGCCTGGGTATTTTCAGCACCTTCAGTGCAACTAGAATTCGGGTAATACATTATACAGTCTCGACGCCTTAACTACTTTACGCTGCCCCAAGTTCCCTTGTGTCACAGGGTAGAAGTGTATTTCAGAGAGGCCTAGGCCTCTCCCATGCCACATTACTTTGGTGGGATTTTCGAGGCAGCAAAGTTGTATTCGCTATAGCGATTGAATAAATTACTTATTCTCAATTTATAGGTAGGTTTTTGAGGATATTATTAAATTTAATATAACAGCTGCATTCACTTCACTTTATTTAAGATGATGAAGTACTAATAGTCTCTAAAACCTACTTATAACATGAAAATAAGTAGTGCATTTTATTGTT